GTACGTGGCCGCGGCAGTCGACGGCCGTCAGCATGGACGTGTGGTATGTGGGTGTGGTGGATGCCATCGCTGCTGCGTTGGGGGTGTGTCTGGGTGTAGTTCTTTTTGTTGGCACCATGAGAAACAAATCTGAAAAACGCAGCCCCGACAGCGAAGATGTACCACTGCCTTTTCAACCAGGAACAACCCTCCACAGACACAATGAAAGACAGGCCCCCGAGGAGTTGCTCGATAAGGCGTCCATTTTTTTTTTTTTTTCAGAAACGACGACAGCACTTCCGGCGAGGGATCCGCAGCCGGATATCGGCGTCCTGGGATTCGGGATGAGTAAATTTTAGGATGGGTTTTTTTTGGCTGACGCCACTGGGCATTCGGGGCTGTCTTATCGCCTGGCCCAGCCAATGGGCGTGGCTGGATTAGCGTCGAGCTTCCGCGGAGGTGGAAGGAATTCGGCAGGCAGTAGAGCACTTCCGCGGGTTTGTCCGCGCCGTATCTTGATACCTATCAGTAGCAAGACCAGACGCCTTAGCTTCCATTACCACTAATCTGCACTCCATCGTCTCAGCACGTTTTCAGAGCCTCTTGCCCCAGCCGCGGCGGCATGGCGTGACCAGCCGAGAAGCGATGACTCGCCGCTTGCAGCCCCGCCAGTCAAAGCAATCGAAGTGGCTGTTTGTGGATGCGGCACCAGACCAACCGAACAAAGCAACCTAACATTAACCCTCTTGGGACCCAGACCCGACGGCAATGGCGCTGATCAAACCGCGGCCCGAAAATGGCGCTCTCCTGATCGTGCTCAAGGCCCTGCTTCCAAACCCTAGCTTGTTTCTTCCCCACGTTCCACGCCCTCCCCCTCCTCGCGGCCCTGCCTCGACGCCTCTGTTTCATGTTTCTTTCCATACAAGCAATCCAGCAGGGATGATTGGCCGTGAGGAGTCAGAAGGGTCTTTTCTTGGCCTTGCTGTGACTGGACCCTGATTTGCACACCTCGACTAAGATCCGTGGCGGAAAAGTCACGCAACAAACAAAAGGTCAGATCTTGGTTGCTGGAACCCTGCCAGTTGGTTGGGGTGGGCTGTACTGTAACCTGCAACCAAACGATGCGACACGCGGCAGCTGACTGCTTCCTACGAACTGGCTAATAAGCTGAAGACGGAGCATCACGAGGGCACAAAGAAGACACGGCAAAAAAAAAAAAAAAAAGGCAAAAGGCCAAGTGTGATGGGGGGTGGAGATGACGTCGCCTTGACCCCCCAGCCTCCAACAAAAGCACCAGACCGTGGCAGGGGCCCAGACCACCTGCAGTAACTGGGCGTCCGCCTGGAGATGGCCTCGGCTAAGTTGGGGTCCCCAAGCCTAAGCTCATGGGAGCTCGGGCCTGAAGGCGCACGCCCTAGTGGGCCTCGCTCCACTCTGGGCTGCTGCTGGTGTCGTCATGGCGCTGAGTCGGCTGTGGCTCCCGTCTGGGGGAGGATCAAAGATCGATCTACATATCACACAATTTATCTTTCTGTGGCCGTCCGTTGGATCAATTCATCTCGCCTTTCTGCTCGTGCAACCCGACCTTGTTCCCGTCAACCCAGTCCTCTTTTTTTTTTCTTGGTGGTTTTCGACGGGAAGTAGGAGTCTAAATTGTGAGGTTGATATCACGTTGCGACACCCGACCTGTGGACAGGAATCTAACCGATCCGGTCTATTCCTTTCGCATCCCGACAGCTCCTCCCTTTTCTTCCGGCTGCATCCCAACCCTATCCGCGCCCACTCGTCCGAACAAAATAGGCATCCCAAGATAAGGTCTCTGGTAGCCGCCATGGCCGTCAGTCGTAAGTTTTATGCTCGTCTCTTTTTCCACTTTAACCCACCTCCCCAGTCTCTGACGCGGCACACACCCCGCAGACGCCTCGCTGGGGCTGGCCGCCGTGGCCCTCCTCGGCGGGTCGCTGGCCATGCTCTTCTTCATCGTCCTGGCCGGCGTGACCGACGCGGCCCCGCTCAACAACGCCTACTTCCTCGAGGCCAGCACCGCCGGCATCGCGGGAGCCAGGCCCGTGTCTCGCTGGACGTACTTTTACATCTGCGGGCCCGGGAACCTCGACTGCACCGTCCCCCGGCCCGCTCCCGGCGTCGGCTGGGCTTGGGCGAGCGGCGGCGCTGGCGCTCCTGCTGAGCTTGTCGGGTAAGTGTTTCTCTGTCCTGTGCTGACTGCATGCTGTATGTATACTGTAAATGCTGACGTCTCCCCTCCCGGAGTACATAGACCTTGGCACGATGGGACGACGTCCGAGTACTACTGGTACATGTGG